TGTCACTACTGAGCGAAATTGTTTGCTAATTCTCGTGTTTGATCACAGGCTATGTCTGCCTACGGCTATGAAATTGTTCAGACACTCATTGTTGATATAGAACCAGATGAGCATGTTAAGAAAGCTATGAATGAAATCAATGCTGGTAAAGTAACAATATCTCGCTTCTCCAATTTGGTTTTCCATGCAAATGTGCTATAGAAAAAATATAATTCTGTCTTGTCTTTGAACTTTTCCAGCTGCTAGGCTAAGGGTTGCTGCTAACGAGAAGGCCGAGGCTGAGAAGATTTTGCAGATTAAGAGGGCTGAGGGTGAGGCGGAGGCGAAGTACCTCTCAGGGTTAGGTATTGCCCGCCAACGCCAAGCCATCGTGGACGGGCTTAGGGACAGCGTTATTGGATTCTCAGTGAACGTGCCAGGAACCACAGCCAAAGATGTGATGGACATGGTTCTCGTGACTCAGTACTTTGATACGATGAAGGAAATTGGCGCTGCCAACAAATCATCCACTGTCTTCATCCCCCATGGCCCTGGGGCGGTTCGCGATGTGGCTTCCCAGATCCGTGATGGCCTTCTTCAGGCTTCCCAGTCTGACCATCCTCACTAAATACTCTCAAAACTCTTCAGACTTTTTTCAGGCTTGTATAAACGCGTTTTTACCATTTCCGATTGTGTGTTTACTTTACTAGGTGTGGAGATTGTGAAATGTCAATACTATTATCAACTTATATTGGTGTTGGAAGAAGATTGTGAATGTTAGTTAACAAGAAGATGAATTACCATACACTTTTTGTGTGAGATTTGCTACAGAAAACTAGTGGAAAACTGCAGTCAAAAGGAAGATGAAGAAGTTTTTCATTACAGCACAGCAGTGACAGAAAGATGTAATCCTACGATCGATCATTCACTTTTAAAAATAAATAAATTGTAAGAATGGGCAAATGAATGTCAATACTTTTGACGACAGGATTATAATATCCTGTCGTTTCAAATCTGCCCATAGTCCAGGACAGCATTTTCTTGCTCATCATCACTTCTCCCAACGTTATTTTTGCATTAAAAAAGACATCTTTTTCAAGATTGTGAGAACAAATTTCCACTTTTTTTGTTTGGATCCCCCACAGCACAGGCCACATCTTCAGCAAAAATTGGTGGTCACTCTAATTTCTCTTTCTTTTTTCTTCCTATTATTTTACTGCTACTAGTAAGAAGTACTGTACTACTACATTAAACGATCAGACAAGCTTGGAAGTCTTCTAAAGAAATTGAGGCTAGCAGGTGGCATTGGGTCCCGGAACATGGGGTGGCGGAGGAAGTAGAAGCCTAAGGCCACCGCCACCATCTTCGGCGGCACTGAATATAACACTATGGTTATCACTAAGCACACCACAATGAACATTTTTGTAGCCGCCGGATCTCTCCAGCTAACCAGAGCTTGCACTCTTTCACCCTGGGTTGCAAAATCACCCAACACTGTTTGCACCCTTGCCGCCAGTATTCTCAGCCGGTCATACCGGAGCCGGACCACTTCCGGCGGCCGTGAACTGGGTATGGTGTCGAATTCCTCGTCCAGTTCGTCCGGGTCCACGTTCAGGGCTTGGGAAATCCGGGTGTCCATACCCGCCGGGATTTTTGGCCGGAAACGGTAGTACCAAACTCCGATCAAGAACACGTATAGGAACCCGGTGGGGACGATCAAATCCGGGTACCATACAAGAACCAAATAAAGAATATGGACCAAAATGGTGGTTACCGGGTTCCTCCACCGCCGGATATCGTTTAACCATTTTGCCAATCCGACAAGCCAAGCTAAAACCGCCACGATCCGAAACCAATTAGCCTTGCTTTTCCTCATGCTCCAGTTATGTGAGTCCGCATCCAGCATGTATCGCACCACCTCCGATCCTAGCGGCGGTTCCGACCGGGCCAACCACGCCGCCACCATTTTAATGGCTGCTCCTCGTAATGCCTCTTGTTGCGCCACCCCTAGGGGGCGGAGGTAGTGCATACGTGGCAATAACGGCTGCCCGTAAACTGCGCACGTGTCTGGTAGCAATGACGGGGAGGAAAATCTAACCGCCAGCTCAATTTCGCCCATTTTTTTCAACCCGGCCCGTGACAAAACCAATAAAGGATATGAATTAGTGTATACCTTGTTGTTCTCCAACGTTGATACCCGTATGTGTATTTTTCCGACTTGGTAATCGGGTTTTTCTTCTCCGGCGTCGGCGAACATACGCCAGTTGTCAAAGACGCCGATGGCGAGAACCGTACATGGGTCGTAGACCTGCCACGTGTACTGCTCGTTCCACCGCGGGTCAAAGCTGTCCAATATGGTCCGGGTCCTGACCCATTTTTTGCCGTATTTTGCAACACAATAAGCATCCGTGGATCCTTTTCCCGGACCCTTGGATTTGATGGGTAACAACCCGCGGGCTCCGAGGATTCCCAGCTCCAAAATCCCAATAGCCGGCTTCCAGAGCTGCTTAGCCGTGGGCCGGAAATCACTGCACACGTGCGCCGCTTCATCCAGCACGTGATATCCTCCCTCCAAGCACATCCGCAATTGTAGCCTTCCGCAGTAGGGCCCACCGGGAGCACCGCCACCTTCCAATCCATGCCATTTAGCTGCCACTAGCCGCTCATCGAGCCGCTGTTCAACTGACCCTACGTTAATTATGATGTGCCCGAGAAGCATCGGATCTTTACCTGTCCGGTCCTCCACCAGCAAGATCAGACTGTCTTCCAGCGGCTCGCCGGCGACGAAGATGAGGTCTTCGTTCCAGTGGAAGGCGGAGCTATGGTTGTTCATTAGCCCGCGGCGAGTGCGTATGGATTGGAACCCCAGTTGAGCCTTGACTCTCACGTCCGGCGATGTCAACGGCGGCAGATTCGGCGCTATGTGGAGGTCCTGAGCTTCGATCACCGTCACTCTCAAGTACCAGAGTTTCGGAGATTGGTACACTTTCGGCCGGGTGTGAGCCACCGATGGATCGTCGGAGCTCCATGATTCTGGGAAGGCATCGTCAGCTTGAGTTCCAATCCAGACGGAAAGCTGAATGTCCCCGGAGACCTTGTGCTGGTCATCGGAACCGCCGCCTTCGAGGTGGTACCACTGTGGAGCTAATGGACTGTCCGGCGGATCACGGACTGGCACGTCGGAGAGGTCGAAACAAACCCCGCCGAGAAAATGGCCCGATGCACCGTCCCATATTGAAATCTCCAAAGTGGAATTCGCTGTTTCCTGTTTATTGTAGCCAAGTGCGAATGTCTGGTTCCACTCTGGGTTCGTCGGAGGCTCCCCCGGCGGTCCGGGTCGGAACATGGCTATTTTGGACCGGGTATGTTCGGTGGATGTTCTGATCTTGGCAAATGGACTCTCGCTCGGAGCGAGTCCACGTGCTTTAACAATTTTCACATACAGGTATTGCATCGGCTCAACGAGATCAAACGCCGACGGTTTCTCTGATTTTTCGGCGAATTTCCCGGTAATCACTCTCGGCGAGTACTCATCTTTCTGCCGTTTCAATACCCTAACTGCGCCCTCTCCAACTCTCCCTGCCTGCATCCTCTTCACTTCCGGAGGATATTCCGCCGGCGGAGGCATATTCATCATCCCAGGTGGAACCTCTTCATGCGGCGGCGGACCATAATGTTGCTGCTGCTCAGGCGGCGGGCCAGTCATCGGGGGAGGAGACTCCTCGATCGTAACAATCGGGGGAGACGATTCTCGTGCATCCATTGCAGCGTCCGAACAACCTGCAGGGATTTCAATAATCCTTGACCGTGGCTCGTCTAGCATTACAACCGTCGGTGACTTCCTCATCATCTCCTCCGGCGGCGGCGGCTGCGGAGGTGGCGGCTGCTCTTCTTGCGGTGGCTCCTCCTCCTGAACCAGCTCATCATAGTAATAAATCTTCAATCCAAGCTCGCCCCGGACCCAGCTGAACACACTCTTCTTCTCCAGCTGAAAATAAATCAATCCTTCCTCTCCCCGCCTCGCGAACTGCGTTCCGTACACTTTAACCCTCCCGAGAAAATGATTCTTCCTCGCGTTCCCATTGCTCAGCTTCTTGTCGTTGTACACATCAATCTCCAGCTCCTCAAACTCCATCGTCTTCGGATCCGACACAACGAACTCCAGCACCTCGTTCCATACCGGATTCAAGTTTCTGCAAACGGTTGACGTCCGCCGTTTCTGGCCGTCAAAGTCCACCACCACATACGCGCTAGAACTTCCCTGGCCGTCCTTGGGAAGGAGATTCCGGGCGTCGATCACCTCTATCACAAGCTTTCGGATCGCTTGTGGCGCTTTCTGCGGCGGCGGCGGCGGTGGCTGCTGTTGTTGCTGCTGCGGCGGCGGTGGATGATCCGGATGCTCTGATGACGCCGTCATGGTTTCATTATGCGGGCGTGGCCGTTGAAGGCGGTAAAGGACTGTTGTGAGTGAGAGAGAGAGAGAAAAGGGGAGAAGAAGTTTTTTGTTATGAATTCTTTTATTTTGATGCTTTGCTTCTTTGTTCTTTGCTTTTTTTACGTGACCCCTTTTTCATAAATTGGTTTCTTGGGTTTCGAATTTTACTTTTACCTGTTGATTTCGGTTAGTTACTGTATCTATACACTTTTTTATTCCTTATTTTCCTGTTCTAACTTTATGGTTGATTTGTAAGAGCTTATTTAAAAATTTATAAATTATTTTAAGTTATAACATACTCTCGCTAGTGAGACTTGATCCCTGGTCATTATTTCAAAGTTTCACCTCTATAACCAGTTGAGCTCCCATGCGGGTGAACTGTTTAAATTTATGTTTATACAACAATGTGAGAAAGAGTTGTTTTGAATCACTAAATGAGATTTGACAAAAATTCAAATATAATTTAAAGTTATAAATTGATATCACTTAATCACGATTAGACAAAATTCTATTGTTATCTGCTTTGGAAGAAGAGGAATTAGATTCCAATCTCTCTTGAGAAGTTTTCTTTCATATACTTTTTTTTCTTAAAAAATTTCTCCCTACTTTTTTGAGTTCCCAAATCTAACATCTCCAGAACTTCCCATTCACATAACCACTTATAGTAAATTATGCTAATTATTTTCATTACAACATGGATTTTGTCTCAAGTTATCATAGATGCTAGAATGCTGAAAATTTATTGAATATCTATATATGTTCTTCCTGCCGCTAAATCTACTAACACCAACATCGATCATTATATTGTATCTAACAACTGAGAAAGTCATCATTTTTAAAGAAAATTTTTACTCGTTCTTTTTTATAAAGATGAGTGACCCTTCGGATTGTAGGAAATTTTTAAAGCGTTTTGACGCGATTAGTGGTAGGTTTGTTTCCTATGTGCTCTGATATCATCTCCCAAATGGTAGTGTAGAAAGGTTGATTAAACAATCCCACTGCAGAAGGAAGCTTTTTGTAGGCGCATGATTCTGGTTCCCATCTATGGCCTGGACCCTTTCCCTTTTGTCAAAAGCACTTGATGAAAACCATTTGAAACAAAAGCACCCAACTTTTTTTTTTTTTTTCTCTCCAGGGCCCTATTCTTCAGCATCTATTGTCAACACCAAAGCTGTCATGTATACACTGCCCAGTCTTGACTTGTGGCTTGCCTGACTGAAAAGCCCAAGATTTCAAATTCTTGGTGGAAAACCAGGGATGTGGTGGTTGCTTTTTAGGATTATTATGGAGTTTAGAGCCTAAGTGCCCATGATTTGCTGAAATTGCTGGGTTTAGGTTAGAACACAAACCTCAAAATCTTCACTTTACTGTTTCTGTCCTGTGCCCTTAGTTTAGTGTGTAATTCTCACTTTACAACTTCAAACCCCATAAAAAAAAGTGAACTTTATGTAGCATGACATCCTAAAGCCACAAATCCCACTATGGTATTTGGCTCTAAATTAGAGTTATTTAGAAATGAGTTTTTAGTGTATGTCTGAGTTTGCAATGAGAGGGAACTGGGAAGTGGCCAAAAGACCTTTTAGAGATTGATGGGAACTTTCTTATCGAAGAAATATGATGTAAAAATAGGGATCTGTTCCTTTATACTTTCTGGCTTCTTCTTCACCCTCACCTTTTACAGACATAAATATGAAGAAGCCTCATCCATTCCCATTAAGAGGTGGTGGAATAACAATGTTTAGGCACAGTTGCACCTTTTCTAAAGTGGTGGATGGCCTTTGTTATCGTATCAGATCCTTTTGAGATAACAAAGTGATGTTTTGAACTGATTCTTGTACAGGTGAATCTGTGTCTGTAGTTGCATTCAGACAAACAATTGGACCAATTAGGTTTCTTTCTCCCATTTTTCTCCATTAATCAGTCTTTAGTTCCAGGAAAATTGTTTGTTTCACTTGTGTTTAGCCAGAGTAATATTTTAAAGGATTGTCTTTTGATCTTTTTGAACAATAAGGAACATCCCAAGAATTTATAAAATTATAAAATATTATCTTCAGTTCATTGCAGGCTCAGAACTTGTTGGCTATGCATCCTTTACATGATGATGAGAATATATATATCTGAAAATGGCACCTTTTTTTTGTTGAATTCAATCATAGTTCATTGCAGTGGGTTTATTATGAATGACTAACACACCTAAAGAAATTGCCAGGATAAGGACTATTACAATCATGTTGTTCCTTCTCAGCTTATCTGCTACCATTGGCAATATTGTCCCCTTTTTCAGGTTATGTACTGCTTTCGCGTCATGAAATTCTTCTTCTTCTTCATCTTCTTCACTTGTGCTCTCATTTTGATCAGATGAACAACAGCTGTCGTATCTGTTTCTGTCATTTTCGTGTTCTGAATCTATTTCATCACTTGATGTGTTAGACTGGTTTTGCTGATCCTGTTCTTGAACAGGGTTCCCGGGTGGAATTTTTTTGCCTTCCTTCTGTTTTGCTTGTTTCGAGATGCTTACGTAGAGAATACCTTCTTCAAGCCATACTCTGGCAGTTTCAGGTCTCGAATTCTCAGGTGGTTTGAAAGATTGCTGAAAGAAGATATATTTGCTTTCATTCATCTTCTTCTCTCCACTTATGTTTATATGGCCTTCATTATCGACTTCAACCTTTATTTCCTCCCTTCTGAAACCTTGAATGAAGAAGCATGATGGGAAAGATATGAGATTATAGGTTTGCCTTACATAACTACCCAGATTTAGAACCAAAACACAAAAAAAAAACAGAAACAACCGATACCAGGAAGATCAAGAATGAGACAATGACTGCTTGAATCCTCAGTCCAGCAGAAAGGAGGTGTGAGCTCTTTATATGCTGCTGCATTTGCCATTGATGAAATTTGAGTTCCAACAACAGTCTGTCGAGTCACCCAGCACGATCTTTCTTGTTTCGCCTGAACACAGGTTGATTCAGCTGATTATATATGTTCTAATCAAATGTGATGTTTATTATTTATATAAGCAAAAGGGATTCAAGAATCAAGAATCAGATGGCCTAAACCAGTGTGTATTATTATGCTTTGATGTTCACATTCAAGTTGATGTAAGCTTTTCTTGCAAGATCCTGCTTATTATTATTCTGTGTATCTGAAAATGGAAGAAGGGAAGAGTTTATCCTTTCCTTTGCCTAAACAAAATGACCTTTGTTGAGACTACCATCAAAGAAATCCCTTCTTGTTTTTCCTCTTAGCCACCAATTGTTCCAATACTTTTGAAGTATACCATATTGCCATCATAGCATTATAAAATTTTTCACAAAAGCAAAATATTCAAATCTTTCTCACAAAAAGCAATATTCTCGTCAAAATTCTCATCACAAATGTTCCATACTCTGACCCAATAAGATTATAAAAAAATTCAAATCTTGCCAAGAATAAACGGAGCAACTTTCATCTGTGCCAACACTTTAATGCTGGCTGCAGGCCATGGAACCACTACTATAATAAACATTGGTAGACAACAAAATTTTGCATTGCAAGGATTTTCCCTCAAAATTGTTTTAGTAATACAAAGTATCTGGAACAGTCATCTGTTATCATCTCCATCTCTGCCCTAGAAACTCATGCTTCTTAATGAAACTACAGTTTACAAATGGCAACTTCAAGGCCCCCCTCCCCACACAGCTTCATATAAACAAATGACGATATTACACAAGTTGGGAACCCAATAATCTATGAGGCAGGAGATTGGAGATGAAGGGAAGGGTAGAGGGAGGAATTGGGCATTTGCTATATCTCCTGACAAATATCATTCCTCCTCGGCATCAAGGCCGCCAATTCGTTGTCGCCTTTTGTCAAAAACAGCCTTGAAGGACTCATGCTCAGCACGTAATTGTTCTTGGAACACGCCCTGCCTCTTTGTTTGGCTGCCATTAACTAATGTTGTTTTTTCTTCTTCCCGGAGAGGGTTTGATTTCTGCAAATGTTTAAACCAAAAAAAACAATCTTAAAATGGAACTGAGTGCGAATCATAATGAAGAAACAAAGCATAGACGGAACTTTACCAAGTTGTACCCTTCACCAGGACCAATTATTAATGATACATTAGCGGCTTTTGTTGCTCCTATTGAAAATCCTGCTTTAACAGCCTAGGGAAAGAAGTAGCAAAACAAAATTATACAGAATATAACCTTGAATGATAGCAAATCATTGCAAGAAGAGAATTACAGTGGTGTCATAGAGAAGGAATGACACTATAAATACTATAGAACACTTTGAACTACATACCTGATCCCCCCATCGTACCGTTTTACCTTCTTTTCTGTAAGATTGAATTAAACCAGAGAGGGCATTAGGTTTCCTTTTAGTATTTTCATCTTTTTGGATGTCATCCTCATCCAAATCAGTTGACCATTTACTCTTTCCCAAATCCTTCACTGAATCAATATGATGTTCTGCTTCATCATCCCAACTCAAATCACCTTTAGAATTATCTATACAATTAGAGAACAATTTCAGGAAGCATGTCTTTGGAATCAACCATAAAGGCAGGAAACGCAACAGTCAGTTGTATATGCTTCTAAGAATTTAACCGAATTTATTTATTTATTAACAAAAAACATTGGTGATGAAGAGGAGGGAAACCAAATAAAGAACCAAGTCAGGTGGGGGTAAAAATGGTTGAAAGTTGTAACATAGGACTACCAGGGTTTGACCTCCCACCATTCTGGGGGCATGTGCATGTACTTCCACTTAATAGAATTCTTGGACATTGTGATTTCGTAAATTGATTATTTGCAGAATTTATTGGAGGTTTAAGGTTGTAATAGTGCATAGTATTAACTAGTATAAAAACATCATTCACAACATACCATCAGAAGTGATATCTGTTGCAGGTAGTACAGCATTCACGGTATTCCCTTGTTCAGAAGTAGATGGTTCTGCTGCTGAATCTCCATCCTCCATGTCCATATCTACCTGGAAAATTTATGAAATAATTCTTCAGAAAAATTTATTTCAGGAGTATCAGATAGTCAAGTACCTCTGGCATTAAGCTTTTGGGTAAAAAATTATATATAAGCAGATACAGGCGTACAGCCCATGTTTTATGCATTCCTTTTTTTAGCAGTTGTTTGATAAATCAGTGAATTAAATGTTTTACCTTGTCAAAACATAGTTTATATACTTAATGAAACATCAGCTAGAAGAAATTACCTCTTCTATTCCACCATGCTCAAGATCATCTCCATGAATTAATGACTGAAAAAAAATATATATATGTTTAAGAAGAATGCAAATTTTATACTCCATATATAATAGTCAAGGTTTCAATTACCGCAACTAATGTGATACTAACACCAAAAATACCAATTTTGAGCAATTAAACATTAACTAGGTTTTCAGAGATGTCAAGGCCAACACAACAATAAGCAATTTAGCCAAAATTGCGGTCTTGAATAGATTGTCTTCCCCCACCCACCCAATTGCTTACAAGTTTAATAGCGCATAGCTTGTTTGGCCCAAGCTAAAAATCATTTATAAATAGAACAGACCTTAACATCCAGTTTCAAATACAGGGATGGAGCTTCTTCCCACTGGCAAGTCAACTTCCGTATTTCATCCAGTGTAAAACCATGCACATTCCTTGCTGCACATCCCTGGAATCCATTAAGAGGATTAGCATACCATAATTGAGGGGAAAACGGTAGAAGAAAACCAAAATCACTGCAGAGTTCCTTATTCCATTCCATTAAAATATTGGATAGGAGAACACCAAATACAATATATTCAATTAAATAAGTCAGCCCATGGATGCCATGCAGAAAACATTGGGTTATGTGCACATCTACAACCTCACGACTGAGTTAAAACTTATGATGGACTGAGGGTTAACTTACCGCTGGGTCCTTGTACGGAGCTTCTAGTAAGTACACTTCATACCCCGACCTCTGAAATAATAAACAACTGAATGAGTAAAAAAGTACCAATACTACACTTAATAAATGCATATAAACTTCAGCTTTTCAGATATCTAAATAAATATATACAGAACTTGAAAAGTAGTTGAAACAGGTAGAGCAAATGTAACAAAAACTATGCTCCCTCCAAACATAAATACAAACTATGTTCCAAACGCTTCACAACTCTGCATACTGAAGTTATGTCGAGCAAAAGAATCCATATATATGACATTGAACTTTTTAGTTGTGTGGTTGACAGATGCGGATTGAACATCCATAATTGCAGAAAAACTGTTATCAGTAATTTTATGCAAATCTCAAATCAACATATGGGGACACTTGGTAGTAGGAATAACTGACTACAATGGTCATTCACCCAAAATAAAAATAAAAATGATTACAGACTGCCAGCCAAATATTAAACAAGGAAATTAATCAGCTATATGCCTGGAACAATGTTGAACATTCAAAAATGATATAAGAAACCCCAGTCAGCCAACCTGATGGGGCTTTAAGAGAAGGATAGAATGATCACGCCTACCTTCACATTACCATAAACTCATAAAGCATCTTAAAATCAATCCGCAGAGAGCTAATAATAGCATATCAAAATAAAACAAATATAAAGCGAATATCATTGCTACTTTCAGCATATCCATAAAAGATTTATCCTACAGTTCTCTTAGATCCAACATTTGGAGCCCTTCATGGGAAGGTGATTGGAAGTGGTGAGGATGCACCGGAAAGGGGAAATGAAAATTACAGTTACCAACAACCACACATGTATTCAATATATTTGACAAGAAAAATGCATTGACAAATGAAAGGCATTCTATTAAGTATCACAAAGCAAGCAAGCCAAGAAAACTGAATTGCACATTGTCCAACTTGTCCATCACTAAAAGGCTCAAATGCTAATTTCCCTCACACAAAGTGGAACAGTTTTGAACTAAGCTTCAAGTTCAATACTTAACATGGACACTAGTGGTGACTATGTATAGTTCACTAAAAAACTGAAAGCAACGCCCAAAGGCAAGAAAACACAGACCTTCACAGCATCCCACAAACAGATATACCAAGAACAGAACACATGCACTGTTTGTAGGAAATCAAGAATTGAGAGTATACCTTTGCAGTTGCCCAAAATTGAGCAAAATCAGCTACCCGCAGATTGCGGTCATCCACTAAGATGAGGAACAAATACCAGCAACAAATGAGTCAATTGCCGAACAAAACTGCATCTGTTGTTAGTAAACTGAAGGCAGTGCATAGGCACTGCATCACCACTTAATCTAAAATTAAACTATCTTTGAACCTTTAAGTTGACAATCTAGCACAACTAAATGAACCAACTTCCAGTGAACCTTGAGAGAACCTAAGGTACACCTTTTAAAGTTTAACCTTAACACTTTTATTAAAAATTTATGTGTTTATTTCGCACACGCAGGTCCCAATCAAGGCATAGGCTAATGTTTCATAAGAGCTACTGCTGATGCAATAAAAAAAATGGAATGCAAATGTGAATTGAGATATTCCTTTCAGCGAACAATTTCAAAGGAATCCACAGAATCTTTCAGAAAGGCAAGCATTTCATCTGTATGGCTTCAAGATCATTGAGAAATTTAAAAAATTAAAACATTTAAAAGAGACATAAAAATTTCACGCCCAAAACCATACCAATTACAAAGGAGAAAGCCCCCTCATCAAGGGTCTTCTTAAATGCCTTCAACATGCTTGACCGATAAGCCTGGAAGGAAGTTGTGTTAATACAGGAATACGTGGACAAAAGCAAACAAATAAAAAGATGCATTAGGAAAGTTTCTATCACCTCCTCCATCTCAGGTTCATAGCAATACTCGATGACCATTTTCACAGTTTTTTTCCCTTTGGTAGAGCCAACAGACTTTGAAACTTCACTTTCATCAACCTGCATATTGAACAATATTCTTATTTGTTACAAAATCTATGGGGATGAATATTCTTGTAGTTAACAGTAAGAAAGTAGACAAAATAAGTTAAAGTCCTGTTTTAAAAAAGACCATTAACTAGTAGAAAATACAAAGACCTTTTCAACTTCAGTCATAAAGTAATCATCTATTGAATGAATTCTTGGGGCATTACCACCATTCTCAACCTCAAGGTCTCGCAACATTTTTGCCAAATAGCTCTTTCCACTCCCTGAAAGAGTAACAAATTACTGTAAGCTCTCAATTGCAATTCCTGAGCAAGCATTATTGTGCAATAAGAGCACAGAATGACAATGACCCAAAAGTTAGTCAACAAGAAGCCACTAGAAAAGGTAAAATC